ATGGACAAGATAGCATGCATGAGTACAAGTACCTAACCCTAAAGTGTTGTACCCCTTGTAGGCTAACTCACTATAGCCTAGAGAGAACACAAACATACAGTCTGACATCAACTTCTCGTCGCACGGTTCGCCGCGTTGATCAGTGTCGCAGGTCAAACGGGCAGAAAAATACAAAACAAATATGTTTAAGGCCGGAATGATAGACAACATTTTTCGTTTTACACTGTAAGCGAGATTAATGAGATGGCTAAAGTTAAAGTAATATTTATGGTCGTAACCAGTTTAGGGGTATCCATTCCGAGATGAGCACATTCTAACCCCTTCTTGGGGGCTGGCAGAACACGCCTGCACAGGGGTGGGTTCGATCCTAGGACCTCATCTATTGGAAGTGCCTCTTTCTACTGACTAGGCCACTTCCGGATGAGATTAATGAGATGCCATTGTCGGAGCTCGCGGGGAACCGCGCGACAGGACTTAGACACACGCACGGTAAAGATAAGCAGACAATTGTCAAATGTTGTAGCCTGTAGTGAGGTTTGTCTTAGGGGGTACAGATGTTAGGGTTTGTTATATGTACCCCAACCCACATCAATGAACCAGCACTTTCATTCTTGACATGGTATCACCTAGGTTAGGATCCTGTGGGATCCCGCACCTCTCGTCCTCGTTCGTTCCGCCCGAGCCTGTCTCGCTCTCTCGTACTAGTCGTACCCGTCTTGCCTGAGCCTAGTGCCGGCCCGATCCAGTCTCGCTCGTTCGTTAGCGCCGGCCCGATCCAGTCTCGCTCATTCGTTAGCGCCGGCCCGATCCAGTCTCGCTCGTTCGTTAGCGCTCGCTCCGCCGACCTGCTTTCCGCGTAGCGTAGCGCCTTCCCCCCCCTGCCCGTCGCGCTCTCCCCGGCTTCTCATCCCGTCATGCCCTCCCCCGCTGCTCGTCGCGTCGCGTCCTCCCCCCGCTGCCCTAAACGCCCGCGTTTCATTGCCGCGGCGCCCGCGTTTCGTCGCCGTGGCGCCCCGTGTTTCGTCGCTGCGGCGCCCGCGTTTTGTCGCCGCGATGCCCCGCGTTTCGTCGCCGCGGCGCCCCGCGTTTCGTCGTCGCGGCGCCCCGCGTTTCGTCGCCGCAGCGCCCCGCTTTTCGTCATCACGGCGCCCTCGTTTCGTCGCCGCGCCTGCCCGTACCGCCCGTCGCCGCGCCTACTAGTTAGGCCCGCCGCGGGCCCTCCCTTACAGCACCCGCGGGCCCTCCCTTACAGCCGTCTCGCCTGCTAGTTAGGCCCGTCGCGGGCCCTCCCTTTCAGCCGCCGCGGGCCCTCCCTTACAGCCCCCGTAGGCCCTCCCTTACAGCCGCCGCGCCTGCCAGTTCAGCCAGCCGCCGCGCCTCCTCGTTAGGTCCGCTACGGGCCAGCTCGTTAGGCCCTTCCTTCGCACCGCTGCGCCTACTCGTTCAGTCCGCCGCGGGACCGCCCCTAGCCCCGTTGCGCCCGCGTTTTGCGCCCGTCACGGACTTGCCCTAGCCGCCTACCGTCCCTACCGGTGCCACCCACCGCTCGACTTGTCGCTTCTCCTTACACTATGGCGACCCCTAGGGTTCTTCGCTTCGACGCTGACGGTAGACCGCTCGAGTTTCCGGTCTGGCTCCTACGCGCACGTCGTCTCTTAGAGAGTCAGGTTCAGATGGGCGAATCCCTTTGGGCGCACACTACTGGTGACCTTCCAGCGCCCGACGACCCTACGCCTTTAGGCACTGCCCCTGACGACGTAGCCAGGGACCGCTTCACCCGCCAGCGTGCTGACCTGACGGCGTGGAAGTCGCGTGACGCTGCGGCCTGCATCGCTCTTAGCAGCCTCCTCCCTGAGTCTGAGGAGGCCCACTTCACTCAGGCCCTCTAGTGAGTTCCTGACTGCGATTAAGGCCCGCTACGTTACTCCCACCACTGTCTCGCTTGGCCGACTCTTCCTACCGTTCCTGTTCCCTGACCTCGCCTCGTTTGAGCGCTCTGCTAACTTGATTGCTCACCTGCGCTCGCTTGATTCTAGCTACTGCGCTGCTTGCACTGAGGCACAGCTTGCACCGCTCCCTCCCCCCATGGCGATTACTATCTATTTCATCGCCACTAGCCTCCCTGACCGCCTTGCCTCAGTCCGTGACACGCTTCTTCTGAAGCACCATAGTGAGCTCACTATCGAGGTCCTTGAGTCTGCTCTCAAGGACGTCGAGAGCAACCTCCGCTTCATAGCCTCCGCCTTTGGTGCTGTGCCCCCTCCACTGTTCCACGGGTGCACTGTCCCTCAGCTGCCCACCTTTACAGCCTCTCTCGCCACTGTTGCTACTGACGTGACCGCAGCTGCTGTTACGACTTCTTCACGGTCTCGAGGTAGAGGTGGCAAGAGGGGCGGTCAGGGTACAGGTGGCGGCGGCGGTGGAGGCGTTGGCGGCGGAGGTGGTGGGGGTGGCGTGCCGACTGGTGGCGGCCGGAGTGCAGGGCCAGGAGAGGCGTCGCGTGCAGCGGCCGGTGACTCCGCTACTGCAGCTGGTGGAGGCGACGCCCGGGCTCGTCAGCCACCTTCTGGTCTGCCGGCCGTGGCGAGTGGAGTAGCGGCGTGGTACCTGGCCCAGCGGCAGCAGCAGCAGCGGCCCCTCCCCTTGCAGCAGCCCCCGCAGCAGCAGCAGCAGGTTTCGGGGCCAGGACAGCGTCAGCCTCAGCGAGGTGTTGTTCACCCTCGTGCACCTATCAGCTTCTGACAGGTGCTCGCCGAGGCCAGCCTTGTGGCCGCACCCACCCTCCTGGTCAGTGCTTTGCTCAGCTCACTGACACAGTTCGCTTGGCCTTCGGCGTTGGTGGCCATGCCCCTGACTGGTTTCCTCTTGTTCAGATGTACGGCTCCGCTCTTTGGGGCATGTCAGCTTATCAGTTGGTTGATCTCTTAGGAACTCCTCATGCAATGTATGCTGTTGTTGACTCTAGTGCTTCTGACTCTGTTTACACGAGTGTTGTTAGCTTAGGTGCTAGTCTTGCTGACTTGCCTGTTGCTAGTGTAGGCACTTGTGTAAACACTAGTCCAGGAGCTACTTCGGAAGACGCTTCGCTGTCTTTCACTTTGGACTCTGGGGCTTCGCACTGCTTCTTCAGGGACCACACGACACATATTCCGCTTCCGGCGCCGGTCTCTGTGGCTCTGGCTGATCCCACCTCGGGACCAGTCACTGCTCGCTACACTACTACTCTTCCGTGCCCTGCTGTTCCCTCTGGGTCTGTGACTGGCTTCCACGTCCCCTCGTTCTCGCAGAAGTGGTCGCACGAGGTGATGAAAGAGTTACACCCAGGTGAAAAGTGGGCCGGCTCTCAGCGGTGGACTCAGCGCTTTCGTAGGTAGGAGTAGATTAACTAGTTGTAGAGTAATTAACATGATGTTTTAGTATACTAATTATGTAAAAGGTCTTCAAATTAAAAAAAAATTAAAAAAATAAAAAAAAAAAAATCTGGGTGGCGGTTATAAAATGTAAGGCACATGTATGCGGTTATAATCCGTAAGCCTTTTAGGTATGCGCTTATAATCGAGCACCGGATATAAGCGCCACACGCCAATTAAAAGCGCCAGGCGCTTATCCGCGGGTGGCGCTTATATCCGGGGTATGACGATATGTGAGGGCAAAGTAGATTAATTAAAACAAGGAAGTACAAGGTTTTTATAAGAGTACAAGGAATACTAAGAGATACAGCTAATAACTGCTTTACTGTTGCTGTTGCGGTTCGATACAGTGACGACTCTGGCAACTGCTCAATAACGAGTCAGTTGTTTGTCCTTGCTGTCGCGTTGTATTTGTCATGTCAAAGGTCGTTGACCTTTGACTTTCGCGTAACCTCCAGCAGTTGCTTGTTAAAGTTTAGAAGAAAGAAGAGAGAAGAAGGATTGCACTAGCAAGAATGGGGATACAAATAGGAAACCCTAGAAGGGTTGTACTCGCTATAGAGCACCCCACTACAGGCTAGAGCATAAGATAACATTCTGACATTGCTTTTCTTCTCAACCTCCAAGTGTTGACTCGCCGATGCTTCGTTGTGCTTCGCCTCGTTTACGACTTAGGGTACATTCCGCTCTGGACACAAATGTCCCAATCGCGTCATAAAACCGCTGTACCAGTCTGCACCGCATTACACCTAAGTGTCGAACATTTCCACCGCACTGCATCTCTTCGTTTGAGACGCAAGGCCTTTGTGACGCGCTCCAGGAATGTACCCTTAGTGTTTCGACACACAACAGAAGCGCCTGCGTTCCAACAGATTGTAGCGGGTGATGCGGATGCTGCCTGCGTTCTGCTCTTGCCACCCCACTCCTCTCTCATGCAAGTACCGGTGCACCTGAGAGACACGCACGAGCAGTGGCAGCAGTTGGATGGTGAGGTGAAGGCAGCAGTAAGATGGAGAGGTGCTTGTGTGTGCCACATTTAATTTTACTTCTCACCTGCATGTGGCGTGACTGGTTGACTTGGCAGCTACAGAAACGACTCTCTGGGGTCCGTGGTCTGACGCGTTGCTGCATTTGATTGGCCAGAAACAGGGCTGCTAGATTCTGCTGTACAAGATTGAGCAGCTACCAGCCTGGTAGGCAATTCTGTACACCCTTTCACACTTTGTTTTTTGTGAAGATGTACGCTCAACATGCATCTGGATGTAGTAAGGTTGACTGAGGCAATTACGTATATATTGTTTTGCCCTTCCAGCTAAACCTGAAGAGCTTCAAGCATTTCCCTGTCCCATAATCCTCCTCCTAACCCTTCAGCCTTGGGCTTGAACCGTAGAAGTATCACATCCAATCCCATTCTCTAATCAAATCAGCGTGGGTGCAATTTTACGGCACCCCATATTCCCAAAATAAGCTAACGATCCTACCATATCTCAACCCACAACCACAAAAATCACCCATCAACCCCCCCTCCAACCCCTAGAGATCCACGCGGCACGGGGCGACAGACAAGCCAAGGTCATAGAACACAGTGGCTCATTGCGACCGGCCCAGCAGCGGGCGCGTGAAGCACCGCAGCTCAAACACAAACCTCGAGAACGCATCTGTGGACGAACCCATGAACACCGCAGCCTCCTTCGCAACCCCCTGCTCTAACGCCGTCTGCACCTCCCCCTCGGGAAACCGGCTGCTGACGTCACTGATGAGGTCATCTCTGGTTACCACCTGGTACGACTCTGCGAGCTCCCGGAGAATGGCAGTGCGGTGTGGCACGGGGGCAATTATCACATAGAGGAGCGTTCTGGACGGGTCCAGGAGAGTCAAGAGCGCCTCACGAGCCGCCTGCAGGCTTGCAGCAGCAAGAGCAGCTCCTGCTGACCCTCCTGCTGCATCGGGTTGTGGGGCCTCGAGCGTCAAGTGCAGGGCGGCAAAGTGGAAGCGGGAGAGGTCAGAGAAGCGGGCCTGGTAGGCCTTGCGCAGGAGGTGCAGCAGCTGAGTGGTCACGGATGCTATGGGCGGTACCACTCGCAGTGCTGCCAGTGCGTTCTTCCTCACCCTTCCCTGCTGCTGCTGCTGCTGCTGCTGCTGCTGCGGTTGCTGGGAGGTGGTGAAGGAGATGGGGTCTGAAGAGTTGTACACCAGCAGCCGCACCTGAGGGGGAGGTTGGGAAGATAGGGGTTGGTTAGGAGGAGAGGAGAAGCCGTCGTGAGATGAGTGTTGTGGGTTGGTAATGCAGAATGGGTAGCAGGTGACCGGAGATTGGGGAGAAAGACTGAGTTTTGTGCACACACACCTCACACCCCTAACACCCCTTTTCACACTCCCTCCACACACATCCTCTCACGCCCCGCACCTCGCCCTTCTTGGTCTTGCGGCCCATGGATTGCAACCACTCCGCCAGTGCTGCACTCTCAGCATCCCCACTGGCAGCCACGATGCCACTTGGGATGCGCTGTGCGATGCCACCTGGCAGCGCCAGCAAAGCGTCCACGTCATCTCCTGACACCCCTGTAGGCAGCCGGTCCCAGACGCTCCCTGGAAGCTGTGGCACCACCCAGATTCCTGTGAGGGGGAAGAGGTGGAGGGGGGAGGTGCAGGGAGGAGGGGGCGGGGCAAGGGGGAAGGGGTTGATGAGGGAGCAAGACAGGGCAGACCACTTAAGGAAGGGACTGGGGGAATGTGGAACACAAAGAGAGGAAGGACGGCAAGGGAAGACAAGTCAGCATGAAAAAAAGAAGGCAAAAGGGAAGGCGAGGGGGGTTGTACCTGAGGAGCAGTACATCTGTAGTTGGTGTGCCATGTCATGGCATGGCAGCAGCAGCAGCAGGGGCAGCAGGAGAGGCAGCAAGAGCGACAGCAGACGACGCCGTGTGGGAGTGGACACATGGAGGAAGGGGAGGAAGGGGAGGAGGGGGAGGAGGGGGAGGAGGGGGGTTCGGAGGGAGAACTTAAAGACAACGAGAACGCATGCAGGATGTGCACTGCTGATAGATGAATGATCAAGAGCACATGGACTGGCACACTGTGAGTGCCCTCCTCCCCCTCCCCCACACACACACTTTGACAGGCACGCCACGCCAGAGTATACCTCAAAGCCTTATCGTCCACCGAATCCCACCCTCTCTTCACTGCACCCCTGCGCACGCAATCACCCACGCACACACGCACACACTCTCCCATCCCCCCTGGTTCCCTCCACCTGGCACGGCAAGACTCACATGAGTGATGAAGAAGTGAGTGCTGAACAGCCTCTCCATCCCCGTCTCCTTCACTCCCTGCTCCCTCCCCTGCTGCTGCCCCTCCTGTCCCGCCTGCCCCTGCTGTCCTTGCTGCCCCTGCTGCCCCTGCCCCTGTTCCTGTGGCTCCACCTGCTGCTCCACAGCACCGGTCGCTGCCCGCGTCACCAGCGGTGGCAGCACAAGCACAGCGCCAACAGCCTTAGCCACCCACACGGCGCGCATCAGCGCCTGCTCCTGCGCCACCAGCCCTGCCGGCCGCCCCTGCATCAACAGGTACGGCCACCCGGATTGCTCCGCTGTGGGGGAGAAATGTGAGGGGAAGAGGGGATTGAAAAAGACGGGTTAGTGTGGGAGAGCCATGGGAAGAGAGAAGGGAAAGGGGAGGGGGGGTGGGAGAAGGAGAAGGGAGGAGGGGAAGGGGATGGTGAGGAGCGTGTGGAAGGACGGTGGCAAGTACGGGAAAGGGGAGTGGTGAAGGGAAGGGAGGAAAGGGTGCGCAAGGGATGGCGTGTGACGTGTGGCGTGTGACGTGTGACGTGTGGCGTGTGACGTGTGGCGTGTGACGTGTGACAGGCATTCAGGGTAGCTGTGTGGGCCGAGTGAATCATGCACGCGCACATGCTGTACCAACCCATACCATACCATGACATGCCGACCCATCACGTCCTTCCCCCCTTCTCACCCATGCGCTGCACTTTCGTGTGGTCCACCCACGCTTGGAACGGCGCTGCCATCTCACTGTCCGCTGCCACATGCCCTGCCCGCCCTCCCCGCGTTCCCTGACCTCCCTGCCCCTGCTGCGGCCGCTGATTCGGGTACCGTTCCTGCTGTGGCTGCTGCTGATGTTGTCCCTGCTGCTGCTGCCCCACCTGCCCTGCTGTGCTCGGGAGACGGCCCCTTCCCTCCTGGAATGAGCCGGCTTGCACCATCGCCCCTACCACCGCCTACACCTGCACCTACTCCGCCTGCTGCTGCACCCTGCGCACCACCATCACCGGAATCGCCGCTGACATGGTGGTTACCAGCGGAAGCGGCGGCAGCAGCAGCGGCGGCGGCGCCGGAGGAGGAGGCGGAGGTGGCGGCGGAAGCGGAGGGGCAGAGCCATGGCGTATCGGAGGGCGGAGGTTCGCAGTTGGGCAGCCGCGCCGCTCTGTGCTGCCCCCCGCCAGGCGCGTTCTGCGGAAGGGGGGGGAAGGAGGGGGAACGACGGGGAAAGATGCGGATGAAGGCGGGGGTTGGAGACGGGAAGGGCGACGGAGGTAGGGGGCCGATGGAAAGAGGAGGAAAGGTGGGGTACGAAGCAGAAAGGGCAAAACGAGCTCAACATTTAACGAAGACAAGTCACACATTCTCCATCCCTCCCCCAGCGAAAAGCTTTGCACTCACTCCTTCCCCCTCTTTCCCCTTTTCCCCCTTCCCTTCTTTCCCCTCCTTCTCCCTTTCACGCTTTCCCGGTCCCCTTCCCCCTCGTCCTCCCGCCGTCCCCTCGTCCCCGCGCCTAGAGCTCACCGCAGCAGCGAGCGGAACGGCCTTGTCGCACGTGATGGTCGCAGGCGACAGCTTGGCGACGGTGCGAGCGGTCGTAGGGTCGAGCTTCGAGAACACGTCAACGACAGGAAGCGACGACGGCACCACGCTCACGCGCGCACTCCCCCGCGCGCCTACTTCTGCGCCTGCGCCTGTCTCTCCGTCTGCGCCTTCCGCGCCCCTCATTTCTCCCAGGCCCTCTACGCGGAACTCCTGCGCCCCGCCTTGCGCCTGCGCCTCCTCCGCGCGCTCAGCTTGTTCTTCACCCGCTGCTGCGCCTTGCGCCTGCGCGTGCTGCTGCTGTTCCTGCATCAGCACCTGCTGCTCCTCCGCTTGCTCCTGCTGTTGCGACTCCATTACCGCGCTCGCTTGCGCGGATCTCCCTGCTTCCCCCTCTCCCCTCTGCGCCCCCGCCTCGTCCGCGCCCTCCGCTTTCCCCAGCTCCGCCGCGCGCTGCTCCGCACCAACCGCCTGCGCCTGCCCCTGCACGCCGATACCGAACGGGCGGAGCTTCTGGAACTGCTGCAACGGCGCGGTCCGCGCGTCCCCCCTGCGCCGCTGGTGCGGTGTCTGCAGAAGCGGCTGTTGCGGCGTGGATGACACCGCAGATGGCGCCGCGGATTCCGGCGCCGACGACTGCTCGTTCTGACGATGCGCCGCGAGCAGCTTCTGCTGGTGCTCGAGCTGCCGCTGCAGCGCCGCCAGCTACTCCGAGTCGCTCGCCGGCAGTAACGGAAACACTCCGATGGTTCGCGGCTCGTTCTCTGGTGAGACGCATAGCACGGTACGGTGGGGAGGGGGAGAGAGAGGAGAGATGAGAGACTGGAGTAGATTTGAGGATGTCGGAAAGACTGGGATAAAGAGAGGAGGGGAAGAAGAGCCATGCTCCCTGAGGGAGGGCGGGGAGAGCGGGGAGAGCTCCCTAAGCCTGGGGGAGAGCGGAGAGAGTAGGGAGAGCGGGGAGAGCAGGGAGCGCAGGGAGAGCGGGGAGGGGTTGGGCCGAGAGAACGGTCAGTCAAACGCAGGCGGGAGGGGAGCAGCAAGCAAGTGAGCCATTAGACGCAAGGACTCTCGATCGAGACGCTGCGACGACTACTGTCGAGCACATAATGTGGAATACAAATTAATGCAGTGGCTGGCACGGGAAAAGGCGCAGTGCGCACCCTGTACGGGCCGAGGAGGACTGTTGCGCCGAGGCTGCGCCAGCGGCGGCAACCAATCCTTGACGGGCTGGCGGGATGGGCGCGCGCGGAGGGGAAGGGGGCAGAAGGGGGGACATGAGTGGGGAGGTATGAACTGGAAGGTGCGACGGAGATGGGGCGCAAGGGCAATGGCGGAAGGAAGCAGCGCGGAGTGATGGAACACCGGGGGGATGTATGGAAGTGGCGAAAGGAGCGGGCGGAGGGAGGGAGGTGCGACGGGAGGTCGTGAGAATAGGGGAATCGGGAAAAGAGGAATGGGAAATGGAAGAATCAGGAACGGAAGAACCGGGATAAAGGAGTCGGGAATAAAAGAATCGGGCGACAACCGAACGGAGGCGCACGTTTATTAAGCCGGCGGCGCTGAAGAGCGCGACGAGCAGCGCGGAGAAGATCATAAGCGCGAAGAAGAAGGCGCAGATGCTCTGCAGCCGAGGCGGCTCGCAGCAGTACGCGCACCACGTGTCCGACTCATCGCTGTCCTCCTCCTCCTCCTCCGTCTCCGAATCGTCGTCCTCATCGTCCTCCCCCTCCTCCTCGTTCTCCATCAGCCCTGGCCGTCTCCCGGCCCGCATCAGGCGCCGCCGTTCCTGCTCCCACAGCCGCCGGTCGCTGAGGGAGATTTTAGAGATGGACTTTAAGCGGCTCGGCACGGACGCAGAGCCTTTCGGAGGCCGGGGCCGTCCGGTCGGTGTTACCCACTTCTCGCCCATGTGGCTTCCAACGTGGATCACGGGTGGATGCTGATGTGCGTTGAACAAGTAAGGGTCACGGGGGGTTTGAGGGGTTGATACTCGAACGGCTATGCGACGATCGGTTGTGCCGGGACTTGCTCGTGCAGCAATCTAGCACAGTACGGATTCGAGGGACACGGAAGGAGAGGAAACGACCGCCGGAAACTGATCGATGGGTGCTGCGTTGACGGAATCTGTCAATTGCTTTGGTTTCCTGAGCGTTCTTGATTGTCTTTTTGGTGGCGCGACTAGATTTTCTATAAAATGGGGAAAAGGTGGCTGATATCACAGCAGAAACGAGTTCTTAACTTGGCAGGCTCAGAGATAAGGTGAGTCGACGGCAGAGTGGTCAGGAAACCTTGATGTTGGAATTTGAGTGAGGCAAATTGCTTGGGACTCGCCTACGGACCGAACAATCCAAAATTGCGAGATGGCTGCCACCGAAGCAACTAGAATGAGGCTATGGCTGTCAGACAGCGGGGGGGGGTGATCAAGGTCCAACACTGAAGGTCTCGGCTCGTCGAAGAAGGTCGTGGCTCGAGACGCTGCCCGCGGGGCGGAGAAGAACGAGGAAGTGCGGATGGGCGGAACAATGTTTGTTTGTTTGGTTGTGTCCGGGCCTGACAGGTGCTGGCCATCTCATCTTGACAGGTGGTATACGCGCAAACACCCAAAAGAATGAGGTCTCTGATTAGCTCTCACACGTCTTGGCACAAACGAAACGCTTCCGAATTCCACTAGGGGTTCTTGACATTCCTGATTTTCTCGGAACCCTCAGGAACACAAATGGATTTTAGTTGAGGTGACGAGTGGTCCAAAGTACCAACTTTTAGTGTCTTTGGAACGAAAAAGGGTCCCCTGCAGGTGTGACGTTGTGTGAAATGTGGGAAGTGAACTGGTAAACCCGGGGATGACGGGCTGGTTTCGAATCGTATGCGCGGTCAGCTGACACACCAGCGTGAGTGCTGGGCGAGATGAGTGAGATGACCCGTGAAGCACTTCGACGATTTCTCGACGGACAACAAACTCCGCCCCAGAAACTGTCACAGAAGGCCCCTGTGGCCCGAGAAGCTGGTTCACTTGTCTCTCCACGGCAACCTAGTTGATCGGGGTTGGTTCAGGCGGGGCGTCTCGGTCTGACCAATTAAAATTGCTGACACCTGAGAGACGCGACGCGCGATTCCACAGCAGAATTGCTGACATGACCCCTGCGCTTGCGCCAAAACTTCTGAAACTCCAACTCATTACTGATACAGCACAAGCTGTCTAACAGTGTTATGAGTTGTAAAAGAGAGTGCGCAGGTAAACGAATAACGAGGCTGTCACTGAATCAACTGCGAATACAATGAATGCACAGACTAATGTAGGGCTAGCCTAGCTAGGAGGAAACCTCGGACAAGCGAGGTTGGGTGCAGGTTGGGCGATGGAAATGCCGAAGGCGACGCGAGGAGCCTCGGTAGCGTTGAAATCGGCCGAACGTGCAACTCCGAAAATCGGGTTGTATGCGAAGCAGTCAACCCCGATAAGGAATTCAGGAAAATTCCTTACACCACCCCCCCCCTTAAGAAAGGCGGTCAATATCCGAAACACGCCGGCGCGCCAGGTAATCCCCAACAAGTGGCGAGGCGTCGAGCGAGGCGGATGGCACCCACGTGTCGTCCTCACTGGTGCGGTCAGTCCAGCGGATTAGAAAATCCACGTGTCGTCCAGCTGCGTCAAGGCGGACCCTATGTGCCAAAATCTTCGATGGGTCGAGAGTCGGCTCCGGCACAGGTCGTGCTGTCGGGGCAGCTTGCTGACGTGCGATATCGGTCGTGGCTGGCACGAACTTGCGAAGAAGGCTGACGTGGAAGGCGTCGTGAATGTGCCAGTCGTCCGGTAGCAACAGCTTCGCGGTGACAGGTGTCACCATCTTGAGAATCTTGAAAGGTCCACAAAATCGTGGCCGTAGTTTCGACGGGCCGGGCAGGTGCAGGTTCTTCGTGTCAAGTAGCACTAGTTGCCCAGTGGTCAAGACGAGTTCCCGGCGTAGAAGGTCGGTGTATTTTCGGGAAGTAATATTCACCTTGCGGACTGCGTCGGCGGCTTTTTCTCGGACTTCCTGAAGTTTCGTCACGAAAGTCTGTGACCTCGGGACCGGGTTGTCGAGAGTGGTTGCCGTAGGAACTGTCGGGTCCATCCCGTGATTTAGAAAAAAACGGGGAGTGATTAGTCGTGCTGGATGGTGCGTTGTTGAAGGCGAACTCCAACATTGCGAGGGAGTCTTCCCAGCGGGCAGGGTCGGGGCAGTTTGTCCTGATCAGCTGCTCCATGGTCTGATTGGTCCGCTCGGTTTGACCGTCCGTCTGTGGGTGATATGCCGATGAGAACTGTAGCTCCGTGCCGTACTGCGCCCACGTCTCCTTCCAGAACTTTGATGTGAACTTCGGGTCTCGGTCGCTGATGATCGCCGAAGGGATGCCGTGCAGTCGCACGACCGTTGAGATGAAGAGGCGCGCAGTTTCTTCGGCTGTGATTGTCGTTCGGCATGGTGCGAAGTGCGCCATTTTCGTGAAGCGATCGACGACGACGAGAACGGCGGTAGCCGTTCAAGTGGACTGTCTCAAAGGGTGCGGTGGCCGGACGAAGAGATGAGGAGTGAGGAGTGGCGCGCAGTGGACCCCCGACGCAAGGAGTGCACGGCGACGCAGGCGAGGTAGGAAGCGACCGAAAGACTCGTAGGAGACATGAGACAAGACGCTAGCTAGCCATGCTACGGAGGCGTGGGATGGACGAGTGACCAAGACGGTGGTGCCACAAGAGTGTCGAGTGCGAGAGTGACCGACAGGAGCACAACGCAGCGTCTGGACCGGACGCAGCCACCTGACTCGACGCAGCGACCTGACCAGACGCAACGACCTGACTAGACGTGGCTACCTGGGGGGCCGCAATGCGCAGAACAAACAGACCCAAGTGGGGCTCCCTGACAAACGTGGCCCGGTGGAAGCGTCTGTACAGAGAACATTCCTCTCGTCTATAGGAAAGGCGAAGGTGATCCCTCGATCTTTAAGATATCCGACACCCACCAAGTTCCGAGAGAACGAGGGGATGTACAGACCAGTGAGGACACCAGAGGGGACAGCCGGACACGGAAGGGTGGTAGAATTGCGAGTGACTGCTGGTCCAGAAGTAGGATCAGCCATGGCAACTGTGACTGGACCAGAAAGAGGTGTGACAACGGTTTGGTCGCGGAAGATGCACTGAGACGCGCTAGAGTACAGTGTAAACGAGAGCAACGCGGCAACTGCAGGTGCACCTAAGCTACAAACTACACAAGCACCTACACTAGAAGCCGGCTCAGGTCCTAAGCTAGGCATATGCAAATCAACAGGTCCGACATGACTAAAGTTATCAGCATACATAACATTATAGGCTTCTGAGAAGATTTGAACAAGAATGAATGAACTATGAATGAAGTGAGTACATATAGGAAACCCTAATTGGGTTGTACCCCCTATGGGATACCCCACTATAGCCTACACAACAGCATAAGCTATATATATGTTCTGACACACCCCCATAGGCAAAGTGGGGGAGAACAAGGGGTCACAAGACCAGTCACGCAAAGCACAGCAAGCTCAGGGTGGATCACAAAGTCACCACACAGTCCGAGCACAACGACAAGGCCACAAGGCCAGTTCACATGCAGGAGTGCACATATATATATAGAGCTAGACAAGCAAGAGCAGGTATATATATGTGACAGTACAAGCAAGGTCAAGAGGAGAGCAAGTGAGGCAAGACAGGTACAAGACCCAGCTGAGTGCAGAAGCGCTGATGGTCACAAGGCGCAAGTGCCTTGGTGAACACATCAGCAGTGTTGGCCTCAGAGGCCACGTACGCAAGTCACAACTGACCACGCTGCTGCAGCTCACGAGCAAGAAAGTAACGGAGAGCAATGTGCTTCGTTCTGTGCTCCAAGCGCTGCTCTCGACACAAGGCCAGCATGGCCTTGTTATCTACGTACAGCACTGGAGGAGAACGAGGCGGCTCTCCAAGGTCAGTCAGCAGGTAGGTGAGCCAGCGAAGCTCCTGTGCAGCCATGGCCCCGGCGTAGATCTCAGCCTCACAACTGGAGCCGAGAACAGAGGACGAGCGAGTAGCCCGCCACGAGACAGAGCCGGAACCAAGACTGAAGGTGTAACCCTGCGACGACCGCTGCGTAGCCTGGTCGTCAGCCCAAGAAGCGTCCGCGTGCCCAGTGAGGACCACTGGACTCCGCCCTCCAAGCACTAGCCCCATGCCCGACGTACTGCACAAGTAGCGCAACACCCTCTTCGCTGCAGCCATGTGCTCTGGTCGGTGTCTCCCAGGAGCAACATAGCGTGCAAGAATGCTAAGAGGGTATGCAAGGTCAGGTCGTGTGCAGGTCATCAGGTACATGAGGCAGCCAACAAGCTCTGGGTACGGGCCACTCGACTCTACGGACTCATCCGAAGGCAGAGCTGAGAGCGAGTGGCGAGTAGACAGAGGAGTGGCCTGAGGCGAGGAGTACGTGAAGCCGAAGCGCTGAAGGACCTGCTGCACCATGTGTGACTGAGTCAAGGTAATGGTGCGGCGTGCTCTGTCCCGAGTGATCTGCAAGCCAAGGTAGCTGCGCAGTTCACCCAGGTCTGTGCACGTGTGTCTCTTCTGCAGCTCGGACTTCACGTGGGCGAGTCCAGCAGTGTCAGCTGTGGCAAAGACCAAGTCGTCGACGTACACGAGGATGTAGAACGGCGGCAAAGAAGTGTCGGTGCGCAGAAACAACGACGGGTCAGCCGTAGAGGGAGCAAACCCAAGAGCCGCAAGCGTAGTCCTCA